TTGAAAAGCTATCAAATTATAAAGCTACACTTTAGCTGCTCAGATTCTGAAAAAAAGTTTCAAACAGAAAAAGAAGAAAAAGGAGTTGTCATTTCTGGCACTCACATCACAGATTTGCCATCCTTTGAGCTGGATAAAAAGGAAGTATTTGTGGAAACCTAAAATAAAAGTGACAGGACACATAGAAAGAGGTTAAGAGCAAATGTATTGGATTCAAAGCTAGGTGGTATGTTTGCCTTTTTTTTTTAAAAAAAAACTTGAAACAAGAGTTGTTGCCTTTTGTCTTGTCAACACAAAGAACTTCTCTAAAAGGCAGAAAGAAGCCTACTGCAGCTGCAGACCAGCACTCCTCACCCATCGTTCACAGGAAGGGAACTGACAGTTGTAGATACCAACAGCAGTTCTGTTGCACCTAAAGGCATTTGCTATCTGGATGTGAGCTATACGCAAACACAAGATTGCAGTACAAGTTGTATCGTAATGTATTCATCCTAAAGAGTTTCAGTTCCCATTAAGTGGGTTCTGATGACACACACATACTGATGTGCTTATTTCTTGCACGTCTGATCCAGAAACACTCTAGCACTGCTTCTATTTTAGTTCTGAGGAGCACGCCAATTCCTTAATGCGTACAGAACTAGGCTTAGCAGATCCTAAACTGAGTAGTTCAGGGAGCAATGAGAAGAGGGGATACCCACCAGACATCCACCACAACAACCTACAGTATAAAAAAACCAAAATACCACACAACAAAACCAAAAACAACAAAACCAAGCATGGGCTAATCCAGCTTTCTAAAGATAATCCACAACTAACAATGTGAAAAATTACAATATGATGAACAGATGATAACTGATGTCAGTCCTTTGAAGAGTCTTATTCTTTTTAAAAGATATCCTAAACTTTCCCCAAGCCTTAATTTTGTAGGACATTCTTATACCCTGCACAAGAAGTAACCTAAGTATTTGTGTAACAAGATGACTATTACTACAGCTTCCAGGCATTAAACCACAGCATCTGTGTATGCAGGCTCTCACCAGCCTGTAAACATTACAAATATCACAACTGTCTCTACTTAGTGTTCAAGTCCCTTCAATATTGACATTTTCCAGAGAGAAAAATTAGGACAGCAGTGACCAACACTGAATAGGGAGCCTATTGAAGCTGCCAGTCTCCATCTTCTACAACATAGGTCCAAAGGGCTGAGTCACAAATGGAACCAAACCCAAGTATGACCTAGGAATCAGCTGGTGAATTTCTTGAAAACAGGAAAACAAAATAAGAGAAACCAAATATACATCGCCTCCACATACCTAGACAGGCATACACTGTAATTCTTGCAAAGCTCTCTGGAAGACCTACTTCAATACATAAAGGGTTCATGTGGAGGAAAGAAAAAAATAAATTCCCCCACCAAAAAAGCAAGAAAGTAATCTTGAGAAACATTTGGCGTCAAAATATCAAAATATTTTCAGAATTCCTACTTCTATACCACCAGTATCATCTTGCACCCAAAACTGTAACAGATAAAAGGTATCTCAGTACAATAAAGCACATTAGGTATTTCCTCTTCCACCACAGTATCTGACAAAAATCCATTACCACTTAAAACAGTTTGGCATGTAGAAGGGAGCTGGTCTCTCTGGTAGCTCCTGGTACTGATGCCTGGAAGCCCTTCAATGAGATCTCCCAACTCATACTGTAATCTAGTGTAATTTTCAACCAAAGGCGCAGGTGAAAGCGGTAGCTGCCTTAACAGCTTGATTTACCTTTTTCCTGCCTCTTTTTCTTTTTGCTTATACATCAATACTCGAGTACCTCCAGGATTACTATCAGGCAACTAATCCAGCAGAAGAGCAACTAAGCAAACAAGCTAGTTTTCAACCACACCAGCTCCCTGATCTAGCTCACCATGCAACCAGAAAGGCTTGTGCTAGACAAGGCAAGGGACAGAACCCCAATTTTGGCAGCAATCTACATTACTTTCAGCTTAGCACGACCACAAAAATGCTCCCTTCGCTTTAATACCAAGTTTTGCCCCCAACAAAATCACCTCAGGTGCAATTAGTCAGAAATCTGCAAAGAGCAAAAGGACTGCAGATCTGTATTAATCCGTTCTATGGAAGTCTGATTACTCGTACCAAAGCACTACGCTGCTTTTTACAATTCTGGGTAATACAACTCCATAAACACAACTAAAATTTTCCAAGAAAAAAGTATTTAGGAAAAATGCTTACCAATAACTATTGATTTTCTAAATGCATTATCCCAACAAACTTAATTTACTTTCAGCATATTCTAACGTCAGTAGAAATAGTCCATGCATTTTCCCTGCACGGCAAATCCCTTGATCATTCCTAATCTTGGGCATGGGATCACCCAAAAAGCAGTATTTCCAAAGAGCCACATTCATGAATAATTCACACAGGAGAAATCAATCTTTGCAACTAGTCAAGAGGAGAAAATGTCCAGATGAAAACAAAACCCCTGAAAATTAATTTCAGCTGCTCTGCATTCCTTGTTTGTACACAGTTACTTAGTTACATATAATTACTTAGTAAAATACTGGTTTTGATAGTAGATTTTGGCACATAAACCGAACATACATTCGGGGGTGTATGCGTGTGTATGAAATGCTTGAAATAATCTGTTTTAAGTCTTGAAAAGTTCTGACAAGACGGGGCAGGAAGGAGGAGGGTTAAGAAAAAAAACAAACCCAACAAACCCTATCTACAGTCTGTACGAGTTACTCAATTCAAATCCATCTACATGGACAAAGCCTTCTCTTGTGGGACCTGGTAATTGACCTGGATAAATTATTACAGCCTAAGCAAAAACTATTTTATTAGACACAAGAATATAATAATGAGCTCTTCAGTCATCTCCATTTCTAATTTTCCTGATTCCATAATTAAGAAAACATGATTAGACAACTAAGCTTCTTCCATCTTACCAAATCCCAGATTACAAACAAAGAGACAAAATGGAATAACATTTGAAAACCAGTTTTAAGCAATTCAGAAGTTATCCAGGCAAACAATAATCTTATGCCAAATAAAACAAGTAATATCAAACTGGAAATAGAAGTCTCAAAATCTTCTAAATTCACAGGGGTTTCCACTCCAAGGTAGAAAATTAAAAATTACTGCTTTTGCCTCATCCAAAATGATAAATATGTATTTTTAGTCATGACACAAGAGACAAAGGATACGGGCTTTTAATGCTTTATCCAAATTCTAGAACAACTGAAACTATTCTCTATTACTTGGCAGAAAGCAACAACTCCTATAAGGCAAGGAAGAAGGTTAAGCCATTGTGGAAACAAAAGTGCTTTTTTAGAAGTCCAAAGGCCAAGAACAGCCATAAAGCCAAACGGAGACAAAAAGCAATGTCAGTATTAACAGGCAAGAATATGCTCTTCTGAAGTTTTTGGAAGTGAACCTGAAGTTTACATTTCAAGACTACTGTGCCAAAGAATGAGGTTTACAAGAAACAGTTTGCCTTAAGGAAAGGACTATTACAACCCTCAGACTCCAAAAAGTCTTAAAGATCTCAAGAAGTACCTTAAATGCTCCCTTCATAATTTGTTCCTTCACCCTTTACAATTTTGACAGCCCCAGCACAACCAGATATTACAAGCAAACTAATTTAGAGTCAAAGTACCAGACTAGAAACTTTAAAAATTTGCCCCTTTTGGCGTAAGGTACAACGTGAAAGCAAGGCACACATAATCTATAAAGGTCTTTTTAGAAACATCAGACATAAAACATGATTTTGTGCAGTGAGTATTTAATGTATGCAATTCCCTCAAAATTTCCGTGTTCCAATTTTCCAGTTTCATGGTCAGATCAGATAGATTCACAGTTTCACCACTGGAGTTTTATTTCTTCAAATCAAGACATGCTATAGCTACTTCTACTGAAGCAGACTGGGCATATTACATACAAGGCATGCTGCCCCAGAGGTCTCAAGCTAAGCAAGTCCAAGTCTGTGAAGTCCACTTCAGGAGCTGTGAAGCAAGAACTTGGGAACTGTGACTGAAATTAGCCGAAACATATAATAAATTATACTGCAATAACTCTAAATAGCACTAAACAATTGAAGAATGGATAGTTACTTGTAGCGAAGATTTTGTACTAGAAATGTTTATTCTGTAGAGTAAGCAACTGAACTGTAGAAGATACAGAATGCAGATTTATTATTTTGTTGGGTATAAACTCAACTATAATAACAGCTTTTAATTAAAACTATTTTATCTAATCAGCTTGATCGCTCGTAATTACTCCTCTCAAATCAATAAGCAGTGCAATACTTGGGTTAACTCGAAAGACTAATTTAGCAACTTCCTAAGACTGAATTAAATCTCTAACTCATTTTCAGGTGAAATGGGTTGAATTACACCCATTACAAAAGGGTACAGAGGAAACATTAACTACATCTTAAACTGGAAATTAACTCGACAGAGCTTCACATTTAATACAATTCCAAAAGACAGATAATGGACAAGTTCTTGAATTGAGATTTTTCCAGTTGTAGCAAAGGGCACAATAAATCATTTTTAAGAAGTTGTAGCTTTTAAATATTCATAAAAATATGTATAGAAGAAATAAAACAATTTCCTAACAGAGATGAAGAAAAAAAAAGCAAAGCAGTTAGAACAAAGGAATGTTTCTCATAACTTGATCCATTTATCTAATAAATTCCCTCTTCATGGAGCATTAAATGCCTCCTAAAACACACACACCACCACACTGTAAGAATGTCCACCCTCTAAAATCAGACAGACAAGTTTTCAAAGAAGGTCCAACGCACACCAATTCTCCAAGATACCTACACTTTAAAAGCACAGACAGGAGTTAACAGTGCTACTCAAATCAACGCTATGACCATACACGCTCCCTTCTAAATTTCAAGTGCTAAAGCTAGTCTCAAAAAGATTTTTTGTTCCTTGTAAGAGATTTCTAACCAACAAACAATAAGACTCTACAACATTTCCAATTAGTTCAGTTTTGTTTTAATGATACGGGGCAATTCTTAGAGCAGACATTGTGTAGTAATAACTACAAAATAAAGAGGTTCATTGGTGTGGTCTTGGAATCCCAATTTGAACTATAAATTTGAATCAAGATAATTAACTGAAAAGCCAGAGTATCTGAAAATGCACACTAAGTTTTTACTTCAATTTTGCAATACTTCTTGAAGAACTTGGAAGAAGTGAAGTTGGTAGAACAGTATATATCACCAAGATTACAAAAACTGGAAGGAAATAATACATTGCAACAGTGTTCCTCATTAAGTGAAGTTATTTCACCACAATAAATGTTTAAAAAAGTGTCGATGTTATTTAAAAAGTGTTGTACCCCCCCAAGTATTTGAAGACAGATAAACCTTTTCCTTAGTCAAAATGGTTTTTAAAAAAAGTTTCTCAAAACAACAGCAATAATCAAAAACCATGAATTGTATTTTCTTTAATCCATAACATCTCTAGTGCTGAAGGGCCATCCATGTAAAAAGCAGATTCTTTGGGGACATTAGTCAATTAACTTAATAAAACCCAGTTTTACGAGGATTTATCCTTCCTGCTACGAGGCGAGTCTGCTCCATTTGAGGTCACTGTTCCATTTATTCCATTTTCTAGAAAAAAGAAGAAAACATTTTTCAAATAGAATGAGATGCTTTATATTTTATTACATTTTTGTAGGCCCTATACAAACAGTCTTTTAACATATCTTCTTTGTTAAACCTCATCATTACCATTCATAATGCAACAGTATAATGAAGCTTTTACAGAGTGCAAAATTTAAAGTTTACTATGATAAATTCTGGCTTCCTGACATGGCCCGACACTGAAATGTGTGCATTATATACATCTAGACTGAAAATCAAGACCAGCTATAATATTTTAGAAGATATTATCTTAAAAAGTAAAATACTCAACCTGTAAATGAGACTGTCCTGTGAAATTCTGGAGACACACAGTGTACATGCAACTCCCTGGTAGAGAGAGGTCTTTATTGTTTATCCTACCTATTTAATGTTTTAATTCTTGCAAAAATTACACTCCTTCACTTACCTTTACAAGCTTTTCATATATATAGGAAGTCTTTATATATACATACACACAAATTCTTTTAAAGTATATACTCTTTAACATAAAGAATTCATTTATGTTCTGAGGAAGGTATTTACATAGATAAGATGGACAGAAGTAAAACACTAGTTAGATTTGAGATGAGTATGTGTACATGCAAAGAGTTCAAGCACAAGATCAGGCATCTAAGAATACAAAGCAAGAACGCGTTACCAGCTGCAACTCCACTCTCCCACTTCTGGGCCAACTTAAAGGCCTTAAGAGTTTTAATCTGTACAGGTACCACAGGGCCTACTTGATAGCAAAAAATTCCCCTAGAACAATGACCCACAATCTACGGATTTATAATGCACACAACTTACAGTAAAATGGAGCAACATGATACCATTGTGAATTAAAAGTATCCCCTTTATTCAGTGTCACTACAACCCAAAGAAGCAGAGGTGTTGCCTGACAGTAAACATACTTATAAAACAGATCTGAAGAGCAGAGTGCATAGCCAGCTATAAAGCTTGCTGCTTAACATCTCTGCTCCGACTTACAGTATCATTCTGACTTTAAGCAACCGTTGAGGTTTTTTTTTTTGGTACAAAAAACTGGTTAAAGGAATGTTTTCCATCTGCACATGTGTTGCAGATCACCACAGAATGTGGCCAATCCACAAAAACAACTGCTGATCTCCCTCTCCCCCCACTACACCCAAATGTTCCCATTTATGCAAACAAGCAACTAAAAAAAATAATCAGAAACATACATGAGAATGAGACCAGACACAGGTCCGATTAGTCACACAGGAACAGTCAAAGCCTATCATAGAATCATATCCAGCATATTTGGCTGTAAACAACACACCATTTTAAGCCTACATAAGGTGGTCTTTGGATACTTTTAGAGAAGTTTGTGTTATTCTTAAATCAAGAAGCTTACAAACAATGAGCTAGACCCAAGCCAGCTAATTGAAATCATATTTTCTTAAATAGTTAAGTCAAAACAAGTGAAAGTAAAACAAAGAACAAGAATCAGCTTGTGTCTGGGTACTCTCCTACATCACCAGTAGGATTTTTCTACTGTTATTTCTTGCTTTTGGCATAGTCTAAAAGTAACACATTGTATTGTGCCCTGCCTCCAAAAAATCCATCCAACCACAAAAAAAGAAAGAGGGGGAAAAAAAAAAAACAAACCTGTTTTAAACAATTTAATTGCATATATTACTCTTTCGAAAACACTGTCTTGCTGCATCTTGTGCAAGTGTTCTGAACAGGTAACATTACAGGAATCTTCAAAACAGAAGAATCTGAAACAACACTAACCTTTCGGATTTTAAAGTTCTTTTCTGTCCATTTAAAATAAGCTGTAAAATTCCCCAGTCCTTAAGACAGGCATAGCTCAATTATTTTGTGAATTAAACCACAAGCCAAATTAACTGCCTTTTTCACTATTCATTTACCACTTGCAAGTCTCCATTGAAGTAGACTGAAAACCAGCAAATTCACTAAATTAGATGAATAATATTTTTAAGAGATTTTAAAAAGCTACTACGTTTTACACTCACTGATTAAAATGCCATTTAAGTTTATGCTTTAGAAGTATTTGTCATAGAAGATTTACGACACACTGATTAAGTAGGACACCTACACAGGAAACTACCTTCATTCAATCTGAATGGACTTTTTTTTTTCCCCTGATAAAAACAAAAAAACCACACCACCACACAAAAACCAAGTTGTGATAATTACAAATAATCAGAAGGGAGTACAGAATATTCTAAAGCACATGATTTTAATCCAAAAGAAACTGGGGGAGGGGGGAAATCACTGAATTAATCTCTGACCACAAACCTTAGTTCTCAGTGTAAACTGTCTTCACACACGTTACATTCAATAGATCAAAAAGTGGAACAGGTTGGCAATTCATGATTGCAAAGGATCATGCTGAAATAAGCTTTTGAAATGACTCAAGCAGTTTCAAAGAAGTGCAGAAGTTATTCAAGCTAGCAATTAAATACACAGAAGTTTAACTGTTGGTAAAAAGAAATAGTGAAGTGTGGGGATTTTTTTTTTAATGAAGCACATAATTTTACTTGGAGAAAAAAAGCATACAGTTCCATCTTTCATGCCCTTTCAATAAAAAGAGTGTGACATAATCAAGAAGTCAAACCTGGAGTCATTCGTTCCTTTCCAAATGCTTCTACACAAGTTTAGAGCAGTAAGCAGTTATTATCTCCCTTTAAAAGAGGTATCAAACCCCTACTTTTAGTAAAAACAGTCCAATGTAAGCTTATTTACTGGATCATCAAACCATCTCTCTGCTCTAAAACCTCAGAGTTAAGTGGCAGTGAAAAACAAGCTTAAAACTAATTGCAAAAAAAAAATCTGAAAGTAATTGATTCTGAGAACAGATCTAGAACTGTCTGTTCCCTTTTTATAAGGAAACAAAACATAAGCATAACACATTTTGCTCAAGTAATAAAATTAGACATAATAAAAATCTCATGTTGCACTAACTAAAGAAATGGTAACTCCTTCATTCAGTCAATTAGAGGACAAAAATCAAACAATTACTATACAGTCATTTTTTAAATTAAAAAAATTAATAAAACCCCACAACAATATTCACCAATACTGCTTCTGTAACTGAGTCATCTCAACTTGCAAGTGAGACATAAAATGTTTCTTTAGCAATGATATTAAAAAAAGGCTCTCCATTACCTAAAGTTGTTTTTCAGAAGTCAAGGCAACAGGAAAACTGAAAATACAAACCTCTTTCTTTTCTGGAGGTCTTTCCTTTAGCTGTTACGAACTTCTTTTTCACTGACTGAGGCTGAGAAGAAGAATGCTCTCTCCACCTCCGAAGCTGGAAATTAATGAACTTCCACATCATAAATGCTTGAGCCATGCAGATGGAGGCCAGCACACTGATTCTAGAAACAAAACACAGGTAAAGTTTTATCAGTAAGTTTCTCTCATTATTCAAATAGAATAGAAAAGCAGACCACCACCTCAGACAGTTCTTTGTATGTCATAAACTGCCTTTTTACTCAGGTTCCTTACATTAGAGTGATTCTGTCCAGTTAACATTAATCTGTAAAAGTTCAAGGTTTGTTTGCTGGGGTTTTTTTTTGTGAGTTCTCCCCTCCAGGTAACATCCATTTTCTAAACCATGCGAGAGTTAACTCGCACAGGGTGACTGGGCTTAGCACAGCTGAACAAAACTAGATATACAGTGAGAGTGAAGTCTTTGTCCCTCCACCAAAATTGAGAAGCGCTAGATTTCTTTCATGCTTTCTCCTTTCTCAGTATTACTCTCAAGGTACCAGGCAGTAACAGCTGAAAATGGTTTAAGAGAGTTTTGTAGTTCTGAGTATCAATTCTGCAGGGTAATGCAGACAATTGTCAATGTTTTAATAACTTCCTTTTCTGCCTTTAATTCATAAAAAGGCCACGTGGTTGGCTGAACATTCTGCATCACATCGCAGCGACAGGAGGCATAATAAAGGCAGCAAAAGCGGTAGGAATCTTCAATCAGGACCAAAGATGCTCTGGGCATAATGCCTTGACCTCTGTATATAAACTCACTGCAATTACGTCTAGAATTCAATTCACTAACTTTAAAACATTTGAAAATAATCTCTGCAATTGGATACTCCTTTTAATTCTGTGGGGTTTTTTTCTGACAAAAAATGAGTTACAGATTTCTCAGCTGTAGACTACAAATTCTTCAATTCATTTCACTGTGCCTTAGAAGTTTGTTACAGAACCTATTCCTATTGATCCTATCAGTTGCATGAAAACACCCAACCATTCAGGATTACTAGCATTAATACCATATTGTGTATTTAACACAGGTTTACAGCTCATGCTTAAAAACTGTTCCAAGTTTACTATACCTAACCGCCAGGATATTAAAGTTTCCAGTACTGAAATTCAGCTGCTGATCCTCTGCTCTTGCCAGTCCAAAGCCAAAAGTGAGGACCGAGAGAATCAAAGTGAGGAGCCTTCCCAAAACAAAAAGAACTGCCCACAGTGAAAATCTGCAAAGAAAAACATCACAAACACTAAATAAATTTTCTGTTCACGACACAAGTAGTAAAGATGTAAATGTCTACTCTTCACCATGTGAATTCATTTCAAATTTCAGAACTTATGTAAACTCATTATTTTGCACCTATCCTAGTCTTCTATTTCTAGTACTCATAGAAGAGTACTCATAGAAGCCCTGCCTCACAATCATTTTCTAAAAACCAAAAGTATGTTCTGAAAACTAATTTCAACTCAACAGAAAGCGTCTTCCATTACTATTAGAACATAAGCATGTTATTAGTTCCTATAGAACTGGCTTTATTAGCAACTTACGCTGTTCTTTTCTCTGTTTTTTTTTAATATTAGTACATAGTGTAAAATTCCATTTCATTTTATACCACTACTAACGTTTACATAAAAAGGCAAATAAGGTAAGAACACCCAGTTGTTTTAGAGATATAAATACTAAAACTAGTTGGGAGAACTGTGGCCTCTGAGGAAACAACTGAACTTCCTTGTAATTTTGGTTTCTGGTTAGTTGCATGTACAAGTCTTTGAGATAGAAATTACATTAATTTAGAAGATAAAGATTACTTACCCTTTCTGGTATCTTTCATCACTGAAGTAGAAAAGACGGGATATGTGGAAAAGAAATTCAACGAAGTAATGCAATACCAGAAGAACAAGTCCAAGATGGGTCAGGCTATCAAAAGAAATAAAACAAACACTCAGACATTTTCTTAGATGTTTAAGACAGCAAATGAACACACTAGAAGTTTACAATTGACTTACTTCAGGAGATAGGCTCCAGCAATATGAAAGAGATAAAGTCCAATGTAGACAATCTGGCGAAAGATATCTTCCTATTAAGAAGAAAAAAGTAATTATACGTTATACACAATGTTACACATTATTGTACAATATTACGTAGTATTACAAACTGTTCCCTAGTCTTGGAAATTCTTCTTGGTTTATCAACTACCATAACGTGGCCTGTTCTGGCACTGAATTACTCAGCCTAGATCATCTAATTCCACGCATAACTTATTGCTTACTTACCAATAACATTTGGTATCTTAGACATACGCTATTGTGAGAAAATGCATCAAACATCAAAAAGATGCTTTTTAGAAGGGCTACCATGAATTTGTACTAGCTATTACAACACTTATTTGGTATGCATTACTGCACCATCAGATAACTTCCTACAGTTCAGTGTGTTTGCTGCTGATCAGTTTCTGTCAGATCGCTACAGAAATAAAATAACAGTCTATGAACCAAAATGAAAAGGTTTCCAAGTGTTAACATCTATTTAAAAAATTCAAGATCATCCAAGATTCTGGCACACTGCTGCTGGCAAATACAGAGAATAATGTAATTAACCAGTCATACTAAGCCACATGGTCACACTTCGAGTTAGGTTTCAGCCAGACCGATTCAATTGAACACTTCATGGAGACAAATTAATAAAGAGAAAGAGACATGAATTCAAGTATAGACACACAGCACACAGAAAGCACAAGATGCCTGCCATCTGTCACAATAAATATCTGTCTTGAAGTGGTATGCAGAGTACATTCAGTTGTGCTTAAGAAACTCCTACTTTTTGGAAAGATTCCCTAAACTTCAAGCAAGGGGCTCCAGTTCTGTCTTGTATGTGTGTAATTAAAAGAAAAGCCCAAAAATTTAATCTTGTAAGATCTATGCTAGGTTACACAATACTCCATCTCAAAGCCAACAAAAGCACAGAATCAAACACTTGTGACAACAGCAAACACCACTCACATATAAAGAGCAAGAAAACAGATAGGGAGATACCTACTCTACATGATCTGAAAGAAACCAAAACATGAGTTCTTTCAGACAAATTAGCGAATACTCAGCACAAATGCTCAGTTTCTCAAATTACGACCAGGATGAGCCTTTTGCACTCTATCTTCAGAACTTAGGTAAGTTAAGTTCCCCATTTAAATAGCCCATGCTGCCTGCTTAAACAAACTGTCAGAGACTGAAGGTCTACTGAAATAATGCAGGTGGAGGTTTACACTGCTCTACAGAAAGCTGAGTTAAGAACTCTCCTTGCCTACATCAGCAGTACAGACAACTAGACCTGAGTAAAAGAAGCTCGTTCCTTCAAGAGAAGGCATAAGGCAGAGAAGCCAAGATGGCGGAGGTTAAACTATGGTGAAATACCAACTATAAACTTGCTAGAACAAATGAACTATGACTCTTAAAATTTAATGCAAAAGACAGAGGCCAAAATTCCAAGCAGTGATCCAATAAAACACTACTGTTCAATATACAGCACGTCTGTCACTTTTGACAGCTTTCTTGAAGTTATGTTAAAAAAATCTCCAGACTTGGATATGAAGTCAAATTTGAGAGATATCACTAGCGCAGTGCGGGAACATCAGCTGCATGATGTGTATCTGCAGAACATCAGTGTTTATACTGCATCTGATCAGCACAAAAACAAAGCATCTCATTACTATTTTGCCAAGCCTCTTCTAGGCTCTTGAACAAAGACCTATGGTTACATAACATGTATGTTTCATTTTCTTGAATAAAGCAGAACTCTGGCAGCAGAGATGCAGTCTAGTAACAGAGCAAAAACAGAATCACAGAATGGTGTGGGCTGGAAGGGACATTTATAGATCATCTAGTCCAAACTGTCCTACCATGGGCAGGGACATCTTCAACTACATCAGGCTGCTTAAAGCCCTGTCCAACCTGACCTTGAACACTTCCAAAGAAGAGGCATCCACAACTTCTCTGTGCAACCTATGCCAGTGTCTCACCACCCTCCTTGCGAACAATTTGTTTCTATCTAATCTAAATCTACCCTCTTTCAGATTAAAATGATTGCTTCTTGTCCTGTCACTACCGGCCCTGATAGCAAGTCTTCCTCCATCTTTCTTACAAGCCTCTTTCAAATATTGAGAGGCCACAATAAGGTCTTCTCAGAGCCTTCTCTTCTTTGGGCTGAACAACCCCAACTCTCTCAGCCTTTCTTCATAGGAGAGGTGTTCCATCCCTCGGATCATTTTTGTGGCCCTCCCCTGGACCTGCTCCAACAGGTCCACGTCTTTCCTGTGCTGAGGGCTCCAGAGCTGGATGCAGGACTCCAGGTGGGGTCTCACCAGAGCGGAGAGGGGCAGCATCCCCTCCCTCGACCTGCTGGCCACACTGCTTTGGATGTGGCCCAGGATACAGTTGGTCTCCTGGGCTGGGAGCACACATTACCGGCTCATGTCCAGCTTTTCATCCACCAGTTCCCCCAAGTCCTTCTCAGCAGGGCTGCCCTCAATCCATTCATCCCACAGCCTGTACTGATACCAAGGGTTGCCCTGACACAGGTGCAGGACCTTGCACTTGGCCTTGTTGAACCTCATGAGGTTCACACAGGCCCACTTCTCAAACTTGTCCAGGTCCCTCTGGATGGCATCCTGTCCCTCAGGCATGTCAACTGCACCACTCAGCTTGGTGTCGTCTGCAAACTTTCTTAGAGTGCACTCGATCCCACAGTCTATGTCATTGATGGAGAGATTAAACAGCATTGAGCCTAGTATGGACCCCTGAGGAACACCACCTGCCACTGGTTTCCTCATCCAAGTTACTCAACTTGGATGCTGAGCTACTGACTGGAACTCTTTGGAAGCAGCCATCCAGCCAGTTCCTTATCCATCTAACAGTCTATCCATCAAATCCATCTCTCTCCAATTTAGAGGGAAGAATGCTGTGGGGACCATATCAAAGCCTTAACAGAAGTTCTGGTAACTGACATCAGTAGCTCTTCCCTCATTTACTGATGCAGTCACTCCACCATAGAAGGCCACTAAATGAGTCAAGCATGATTTGCCCTTGGTGAAGCCATGTTGAAGAGTTTAAAACATAAAAGTTGAAAAAGGAAACAGCATATGCAAAATAAGTGTGAGCAAAAACATGCAAAGAGACTACTAAAACTGGTCCAGGAAGGCAAAAAGTGTGCTACAAAAAAAACCTACAGTAAACTCAGTGTTTTCAGAATTCCAACAGAGGATACTCTTAGGGGGAAAAGGATGCTGTTAAAAATTCAGCACTGAAAAATCTCAATATACAACTAATCAGAACACCTGCTGAGGACAGTGGTATTTAAATCAAATCCCAGAGTTTAATATTCCATGGATTTATCAAATTATTCACTGCTTATATTCTACACCTGTATCATGATTCATGAAGTAATTCTAGATTTCAATGAGACTATTCAGACTACTAATTAGCAGAAAAAAAAACACAAAAAAAAGTTTGAAAAGAAAATCTTAAAATTCATTTATTCAAGGGAAAATTCTTTTAGTAGATGAGAAACACTAGTAATTTTTATTTACACAACAGATATACAGCGATTTTACTGCAGTTAGAAATACAGTATTTAACTGAAAAGAAAAAACCTACCTTCTCAGACATTTGAACACCCAAAATGCCATCAGGAAAAATGGGTGACAAATAAGAACAAGGTAGGAAATCTAGGGTAACACATTACTCTGGAAGTCCAAAAAACCCACCCAAAACCAAACTGTTCCACTGCTCAAGTCACTTTGGAGTTCTTTCGATTCACATTTTGAACTTACTTTTTTAGTTTTCTGGAAGTACAATTCTGGAAAAGCATGAAACCAGTATGCCAACTGTAAGATGTAGAAAAACTTCATTTGAAACCTGTACAATACAGCAAGATTTGAAGAATATTACTTTTTATTAATAAACTTAAAAGCATTTCAGAAACTTTCTAGTGAACACATTTTATCACTGTTCCGAACAAAAGAAAAATATAGAACCTTCAAGCTAGCCAACTGAAAAGTAAGATTTTTAAAAACCAAAATCATTAAGATAAATAAAGCTTGCAAAAATGTAGTTCTTCAAATAACAGCCTACAGAGAGAAAACTCTGTATGCTACAAACTGCCAGAGAATCAAGTTCCTCCATAAATATGAGGAAAAATACATTAGTGACTAACGTAGTTTTACAGGCTATTTATTCTACACAGATTGTATGGGACACACCCTAAGTTTAAAACACTCCCTCCTCTCCCCAACATCCTCTAACAAAGAGGCCTTACGGAATCAGAGTGTGCGGATAGTCCCTCCACAGAGAGGTTGGATCTGATATATAGTTCTCCTAAAACAAACAAACAAAACCCACAATAAACCTTCAAAGATGCTATTTCCTAGCCAGAAATAATGAACGTACATACATGTATTTATGTACATGCATGTGTGTACATACAAACATGCACACATCCACACACACACAGTAAAAGCTGCAGATCCATATATTTTTACAAAAAAACCCAACCAAACAAACAACCAAACCCACCACAAAAACAACAACAAAAAAACCCCAAAAAACCCACCCCAAACCCAAAAACCAACGAACCAAAAAAACCAAACCTAACCAACCCAAAAAACCAAGACAGCTGTATTGGCTTACAAAAATAAAATACAACCAAACAAACCAAGCGTTCATTCAAGACAAGAGTGTTCATATGAGATGGAGGTTATTTCAGCATCACTACAGACAGAAGTCTTCCCTTGTAAACAGCTAACAAGCGCCGAGCTTAACTAAGGAAAGATTTTTTCAGGAGCCATTATATTAAGGGGGGAGGGAATCATACTCCTCCCCTTTTTTGAAACTAAGCTCATACACATGCAGCTGCTAGCAGAGAGCATGTCATCTGAAAGCACACACTCACCTGAGCCTACAGCACTCTCCATACATCCATTCCCTAGGCCGCCAAACTGCTATGTATGACACTTTCTTTAACCTTTATTTTACGCTAATAAGCCAACACAGAAAAACTACAGAGAATGAAGTACTATAATAAAATTAAAACGTTTTACCTTATTCAGTTGACAGTAAATCAAATTAAGTCAGATTGAGCAACAGTAACGCCACTGAACTTTATAATCACTGATGACTACAACCTACACAGAATCCCTAAACTTGTCTCCACTTTAATATTAAAACCAGCTAAAAACAGAAGCCAAGAACTTTTTTATCATCACCCTAAGTGAAGTTTTTGAAATCTCGTAATACAAACGGAAGCAAAATGATACTTACAGAGACAAGAATACTTGTTCCCCAAACACAGGAGAAAAGGTAGAATGCACTAAGTTGTCCAGACTCATTGAACTTGCTATGTTTTGTTTTTGAAAAGTGCATTTTCCTGTTAATTTTCTGAAATGAAAGTTCATTGTTATTTATATGCCATAGGACTTAACACCTGTTAACTGCATTAGAACATCTAACAGTTTCAGTGTTATGTTTCAAGAGTTAAAAGCTTTAATGCAAAAGTTTACTTTTAAGTTAATAGTCTTAAAGTCTAATTAAAACCTGACAATTATATTGATGAAATAAATTTTGTACTTACATCCAGTACATACTCCTGAATTATAGCATGTATGATTATTGCTACCAGCATGTAAAAGAAAATCGTAGCCAAGTCTTTGATGCCATAGTGATAGAGAGAGACTGTTTCTGCGGATTGTTCTTCTAAAAGACAAACAGAATTAACCGTTAGGTACCAATACAGTTTAGTGGCCAATAAGTTTGTTTCTCAAAGTGAAACTTTTCAGACAGAAGTAGTCTGCAGTCAGCTGAACAAATAAAAGTCAAATTAAACTGCCATCATGAGCTAGGTCACTAGACTGTTTACAGTCATATTCTGCATCACATCACAAACTAAATTGGATTCCGGAAAGATGTACTATAAAAATGAACACTTACGTGCACTCAGGAAGCTTACCCAAATGCATTGAAAGGGGACTATAAAATTATGTTGAACTATCACCCTGCTTTGACTAGTAAAGATTGTCACTTGCAAAACCAAAGTAAGAATTGATGTCAACTTATTTACCAGTCAGATGAATCCAGCAGAAAAGAAACACCGTCCCTAACCTTATTTTTAGTAAAATTCCATTTTAATTAATTAAGTGAAGTGCTTGAAAATTGCTTATTATCTACTCAAATTGACAAATTGACTTACCCTCAGTCTAGAAAGTACGGCATACTAATAATGCTTGAATACACTGTGTCACAACTAACCTCCTGCAAGACACATACCTGTGGCAGGAATGGTAACATTATACTGAAGTGTAACAAAAATGACAGCTGCTTTTGCTGTAATCTGAAAGAGAAAAACCAAAAGTGCTATAAATTCTCACTGAAAAAAACTGTATTAAACTGAAAACATTTGCCCATAGTTTTAGCAACCTTCCCCAGCACGTTTGTCCCCTCCTATAAAGCTGATTAACTCGCATTAACACACCACTTCACCCGACTTTCCAAAAGCAGAACACATTGGGCGATCTCTACAGGTTCCGGTATTCTGTAAACAATCTCCTGAATGAACCACCCTCGAACATGCTACTTCAAAGTTGTCTTTTATACAACATTAAAACAAAAACACATGCTGCAATTCTTTCTCCAGTCCGTACTGTATTATTACATTAACACGATGAACAGTATCATGTAATCCCTAGACCATAATGCATGTGGCAATGACTGAGAATAAACGTCATTTAAAACTACCTTTTAATTTGACAAAATTTGAAGGTCAATATCATATTCATAAATCTGTGAGTGATCTGGTAAATGTGTACAGGGAAGAAGAAAAGGCATAAAGAACGATGAACCATTTCAGGCCAGCTGCATACCAACTCAACACAATTTGCATGCTTTTGACCCTGGGGAATCTTTTGGCAAGAAGTGTAAAACAAAAGAAATAAAATTTAGCAGTAGTGGTACTAAGCCCTTTATGATGGGCAGTAAGAAAAAGCAGAATGACTAAAAGAGAGGGGTGGGGGGAAACAACTTTGTTCTAAAGGCTGGGTTTTTTTTGAGGGGGGGGGGGGGCAATACTATAAAAACCCCAATAAATAAGCAGAAGCACACAGTCTTATCTGTCAATAAGCATAAGTTAATTTTCGACTTTAACACATTTTTGCTGAATCCCAACATGAATCAACATGTCTTAGCAGACAGGGAAAAATAACCATGCTTTACAATATTTATGATCTGATCATTTCTCATTGCTGTAAGAACCTAGCATCCTTGTTGACTATAAAAACCCCAATAAATAAGCAGAAGCACACAGTCTTATCTGTCAATAAGCATAAGTTAATTTTCGACTTTAACACATTTTTGCTGAATCCCAACATGAATCAACATGTCTTAGCAGACAGGGAAAAATAACCATGCTTTACAATATTTATGATCTGATCATTTCTCATTGCTGTAAGAACCTAGCATCCTTGTTGCACTTCTAGGACTGACAAAAAACAAACAAACAAACAAAAAAAAACCCAAAACAAACTCCTTTATGAATCTTGGATGGATACTTTCAGTATCTGAAGATAATAATTAGGTTACTACCAGCATTTATTATCATTCACAAGAAATAAGATTTATTTATTTTCAAAACTAGTGCTTCATAAACAAGCCCTAGATTTTGGAGGAATCCATGAATACACAGTGGACTGTTCACTTCATGTAACTTCAGGGAATCCAACTAGTTTGCCCAAGTTAGTGAAGTTGCCTAGGGCTCCCTATTCATCCAGGGAGCCTTCAGAGGACAATTCAAAACGTTGGTCAATTCTGAACTGTCAGCTACTCAGTTGCACAAGTCAGGCACTATAAACGTTTTACCATACCAACATTAACCACAGCAGGTGATTTCCAAGACCTATATCAAAGCGTTTAAGAAATTGCAACAATCTTCTCCATCATACCACATCTGTACCAACAAAGGCATATGGCCCTTCTACGCTGATGTAGAAAACTCCCTCGATTAAAAAACAAACTGGAAACAAAAGGCTTCAGCACATCCAATCCCCCCAAAACATCCAACCCTACCAGTAATACTGTAAATACAGTAAGCCAGAAGTAGACATAAAAGGTAATGGTTTAAATCCATCTCTTTGACCTCAATCCCCAGAAAATCACCATATATAGACCGTCTTGATGATTTTTGATGGTAAACCCAAACATAACAGCTTTCTTGGTCTGGTCTGTTTTTTCTTCCCACATGTATTTTTTTTTCCTGACTCCACTGGACTCTAGTGCTGAGCAGTATCAACAGCTGGATAAAATTATTCTGAAAACCACCTGTATAAGAAAAAGGCCCAGAACTCTAAAAAAATGGCTAAAATACCAAAAAGCCAGAAACATTTAGTCAACAAAAATGGAAGCGTCTTACTTTGACAGGACACCACTGAAAACATTTTGGAAGTCACACGGGTAAATTACTTTTCAGTTCTCTCAGACAGTAACTGAGAAGAGCCAAAAAGGCACGTTTTAGATCAGCAGCCAAGCTCGAGGTTTTGCTGTCCCCACGCACCCCTACCACCAGAGTTTACTAACTTTTCACGTCACTTTGGAAAAGCTTCGATTACTGCATCCAACACGAGGGCCCAGACAAAACGCCTGGCCTGC